TTGTATGGGAAAAGCAACACACACACAAACGAATACATGCAGTATGATTCCATCTACTAGGGAAAACTTTGGAAAATACAAACTAATCTATAGTAATAGCAGATGAGAGTGCATTACTCACCTCGACTCTTAGCTTGTTGAGGATGGTGACCGCGGCCTGGCGTCTGCTCCTGCTGCTTCCGCCCCCTGACCCAAAGCCACCATGCGTGAGTGCATCTCCATCCACATTGGCCAGGCCGGTGTCCAGATTGGCAACGCCTTCTGGGAGCTCTACTGCCTGGAGAACGGCATCCAGCCCGATGGCCAGATGCCCAGTGACAAGACCATTGGGGGCAGAGATGACTCCTTCAACACCTTCTTCAGCGAGACTGGTGCTGGCAAACATGTGCCTAGGGCAGTGTTTGTAGACCTGGAACCCACAGTCATTGATGAAGTATGCTCTGGTACCTATCGCCAGCTCTTCCACCCTGAGCAGCTCATCACAGGCAAGGAAGATGCTGCCAACAACTATGCCCATGGGCACTACACCATTGGCAAGGAGATCATTGACCTCATCTTAGACCGAATTCAGAAATTGGCTGACCAGTGCATAGGTCTGCAGGGCTTCCTGGTTTTCCACAGCTTTGGCGGGGGCACTGGCTCTGGCTTCACCTCCCTGCTGATGGAACGTCTCTCTGTTGACTACAGCAAGAAGTCCAAGCTCGAATTCTCCATTTACTCAGCCCCCGAGGTCTCCACAGCTGTGGTAGAGCCCTACAACTCCATCCTCACCACCCACACCACCCTGGAGCACTCTGATTGTGCCTTCATGGTAGACAGTGAGGCCATCTATGATATTTGTCGTAGAAACCTCGATATTGGGCGCCCCACCTACACTAACCTGAACTGCCTTATTAGCCAGATTGTGTCTTCCATCACTGCTTCCCACAGATTTGATGGAGCCCTGAATGTGGATCTGACAGAATTTCAGACCAGCCTGGTGCCCTATCCCCGTATCCACTTCCCTCTGGCCATATATGCCCCTGTCATCTCTGCTGAGAAAGTCTACCATGAACAGCTTTCTGTAGCAGAGATCACCAATGCCTGCTTTGAGCCAGCCAACCAGATGGTGAAATGTGACCCTCCCATGGTAAATACATGGCTTGCTGACTGTTGTACCGTGGTGATGTGGTCCCCAAAGATGTCAATGCTGCCATTGCCACCATCAAGACCAAGTGCAGCATCCAATTTGTGGACTGGTGTCCCACTGGCTTCAAGGTGGGCATTAATTACCAGCCTCCCACTGTGGTGCCTGGTGGAGACCTGGCTAAGGTACAGCGGGCTGTGTACATGCTGAGCAACACCACAGCTATCGCTGAGGCCTGGGCTCGCCTGGACCACAAGTTTGATCTGATGTACACCAAGCGTGCCTTTGTTCACTGGTACATGGGTGAGGAGATGGAGGAAGGGGAGTTTTCTGAGGCCTGGGAGGACATGGATGCCCTTGAGAAGGATTATGAGGAGGTTGGTGTGGATTCTGTGGAAGGAGAAGGTGAGGAGGAAGGAGAGGAGTATTAGTTGTGCATTCCCTTCAGCCCTGCACCATGTCACGCTCTCAGAGTTTGAGCTTCAGTGTAGCTAACAATGACTAAGCTTTTCTGGTGGCATCATCTTGATCATGTCTGATCTTTTGTGATCCTGTCTTTTCCATGTGTACCCATGTCTCAGAATAAATGCTTTAACAAAGTTTGTAAAAAAAATAGCAGATGAGGATGCAGGAGATGAGGCAGAGCAGGAAAAGGTCACAAGAACACTTTGGGGGAATGATGGATATGTTCATTATCTTGACTGTGGTGACAGTTTCACTGGTTTGTACAGTCAAAACCTGTCACAGTTCACTCTTCACATAATAGTTTATTGTATATTCAATTATATAACATGAAGCTGTTAAAAACACACAAGCAAAATGACTATCTTCCTTACCATAAAATTCATTCAATTTATTTGTTGATAGGAACTTGCTTTTCTGTCCCATACAGTATCCTACATTCTGGGTTTCATTGATGGTAGTAATGGAATTCCTACCTTTTAGAGCTATAAAGTATAGCCATTTGTTGATAGTTGTTCAGCCTGGGTGATTGACACATGAGGGATCATTGTAGTACTGTACATTTTATGTGCTTAAACTTTTTTTAAAAAAATGTATTTGGCACAGGGTTTCACTATGTAGCTGAGACTCTTAGTGATCCTCCTGTTTTCAGCTGCCCCTGTGCTGGGAATTACAGGCATGTGCCACCATACTCGGTCTCTGCGGCCTGGTCAGCAAGTCCCAGGTGTGGGGCCAGCAAGGCATGTGCTGCTGGGGATCGAACCCTGATCCCTGAGCTTGCCAAGGCAGGTGCTTAGACTGCTGAGCTATCTTGGTGGCATGCTCTTAAACACTTTTTTAAATAGAAAGTTAAAATAAGTCTTGGGTTCCATCCTTGAGGTAATGAATCTCTTAGGAGTTGGGTACAGAGATTTACATTTACAAAATGATCTCCCAAAGTGTTTACTTCTGATTACTGCCCTACATCAAAGAAAAGGGCTTTGACAGAATGAATCTCACATAAAACATGAGAAAAATTGTTTTGGATTGGTGTCTCTTAGCAAATTAGAAAAACAAGCTGGGTGCGATAGTATATGCCTCTAATTCCAGCACTCTGGAGGCTGAGGCAGGTGTGAGTTCAAGGTCAGCCTGGGCTACACAGTGAGTTCAAAGCCTGAGAGAACTGCACAGTGAAACCCTGTCTCAAAAAGTAACAATAACACCCAGTAGATTAGGTATTTCTCCAGAGGCATTTATGGTTTTTCTCACCTCCTCTACTGCCAGGGAAATTTTCTGATTCCCAAATATACATTGTTTCAATGTACTCTTTTTTAAAAATTTTTTTTTTAATGTACTCTTACTTAGTCTTAAAATGATGGTTGTAGTAGAGCATGTAGTACATACCTGGAATCCCAGTGTTGCAATCCCAGCACTCTAGGAAGCTGAGACCGGGATTGCAAATCTGAAACCAGCCCAGGGAATTTAGTGAGACTATGGCTCAAAGTAAAAAAAAGGTTGTAGGTTGGTGTGAAGGTTCTGAATTCAGTGCCTTCCCTCCCTTCCAAAAGTGATTACAACATAGGTTTAATTTATCATACAGGTTTAGCATGATATGTCTAGAGTACTCTGAACTACAGTTTTACATAAAACTAAAATAAAAAATACCAATTCTATTTGAACTGTCTAATTGCTATTTATTTCTCAATAAAATTATGGGAAAAAAAGCTTTTTTCTCTATCTCTAGTTTCACTTCTATTACATCTTTTGCTTTTGCTATGATTTCCCCTTTCTTCAAGTAGCAAACGTTGTTTCTCCTGATCTTTCTACTATCAAAAAATGACTCAGAAACCATACAATAAGCTTGTTTATACAAGATTAGGAATTAGAGTTATGAAGTGATCTTTTCCAGGAAAGTCAATTTAAATAGGGCACAGAATATAAACTATAGCAAAAAAGTTGTAGATAGGATATCATGTCTGCATCTTGTACAGCAATTAACCACTGGGAGGAATGTATGTAATGTGTTAATTATTGAAACTGTCTTACCAATTTGATTTGAAACTGTCTCATTGCTATTTATCAATAAAATTATGGAAAAGTTATAGCAAAAAAGAAAGGTGTACTGATGGGTTTTCAGACATCAGGTAACCTATTCAGGGCAGGATTTTTTTGGGGGGACGGTGGGAGTGATCAAACTCTTTTCAAGACTTTTAATAATCTAAAATCTTACTAAATAGGTTGTTAACTATTTACTCCATTGGAAATATATCCAGGTAAGTGTTGTATAATACAACTATAGCTCTTTCTTCTCTAACATGCATAGAAAAGTTTAGTTTTGGTTGCAAATAATAAAAGTTTTTCTAGACAACTAAGGACATTTATTGGCTCAGAGAAGTCCCTACATCTGAGGAATGCTACAAATGGGATAGAAGGAAAAATTAAACTAAAAAAGTCATCTTATGGCTCAAATAATTAGATATACTGAACTCTTGCTACACCATATGTACTTATTTTTGCAACCACTTTTTCTGAATACTTCCTATTGGTCAGGCACAATTCATTGTGGGAAGCATAATAATGAATGAAGCATGTTCTCAGGGCGGATATGTTGTACAGATCAACCTAAAGTTGAATATACAGGTGCCACAGATCTACAGACACAGTGCTAAGGAGATAGATAGATGAACACACAGGTCTTTTCTGGTTGCAGGACCTTGGTAGGGACATATTCACCGTTCAAAGATCAGGACATTTCTGCGATCCATGAGAGAAAAGGGCTGATTTCTTTTTATCTCTACCTAGTTATTATGCCAACATGTATTATCCTAAAGGATAAAAACGTGCAAATGAGGGTACCCTGTCTTCACAACTGTGCTCAGCACTTCATCATTCATTCCCTTCCATTATTTCCCTCTTCAGTTTCTTGGATGTCAAAGAAGGAGTCAACAAGGGAGTGCTCCATAAACACACAGGCATCTCGGAAGGACGGAGAATACTAACTGGTGAAGAAGTGAGCCCACTTTGAGGGGACGTCCCTCAAGGTTGCCGGGAAGTAAGGATGGAAATTAGGAACCAGGTTTAGGAGTGAGAAAATGCTCTCCTCGAACGGAATTATCTCACAACTCAGCTCGCAGGGCTTCAGTCCACCTGGCTCAGGGTGGGTTCGCGGGCGCGGATTTCCCTTCGAGGGCGCTCTCGCCTTTTTACGTGTCCCTGCTGTCCAACTCTGGTTCAAGCTCCGCGGTCCCCGGGCCTTCGCTCTCTCTACTAGAAAGGGACGTGCGCGCGCGCGCGCGCCGCCGCCGGGGCCGCGAGGGCGCCTCCGCCCTCCGGAGCGCGCACGCCGCGCAGAGGGGCCCGGACGCGCGCGCCCCCGGCCCACCGCCTCCTCCTCAGCCCGCCCCCTCCCGGGCTTCTTCCTGCCGGGCGGTCCCCTCCCCTCCCCTCGGCTCCCCGCCCGGCTCCCTCCGCCCTCTCAGGGCTCTGTTGGCGGCGGAGTGAACGGGACCGACCCGGCTGCAGAGCGCGCGCGGCGTTGGGGCGCGGGCGCCCGGCAGAGTTGTTGTTCTGGCAGCGCCCCCGGAGACGTGAAGAAGTGAGGTGAGGGCGGCCTCCCAGGGGCCCGCGAGTGGCCCGGCGGCCGGGAGCCGCGGGTCAGGCCGCACCGGCCCGGGGGCACTGGCGTCCGCGGGGGGCCCGAAAGGTCGGGCGGGGGCTGGC